TATATATATATATATATATATATATATATATATATATATATATATTCCATTTTGAAACTTCTGTATGTTATAAATATTTGTTTCTTTATATCTGAATCTGAAAAAATTAACAAAAGTAATAAACTGACAAGGAAAGCAAAGTTTAGAGACTTCTCCTTTCTGTTGTAATAATATGGCATAGCATTGTCTTTAGAGACGTTCGTTCATTTAGTGACAGTAATTGAATATTGTGAAATAAGAAAATATAGAGTATATTTGAGTTTGTATTGGATGCTGATGAACATTAGGATTTATTTTATTCTTCAGTGAAGCCCAATCCACCACATAATTTATCAGTCAGCAACTCAGAGGAGCTGTCCAGTATCCTAAAGCTGACATGGATCAACTCAGGTATTAACAGATTCATAGGACTGAAGTACGACATTCAGTACAGGACCAGAGGCACCTCGGCCTGGAGCCAGGTACATTGAAATTTGCTTTGTGCTCACACAGTCAGGGTTTCTCGTCACGCTCTAACTCCGCGGTCTCCGCCCTGCTTGTCTCATGGCGCACGTAAACTAATGGCTACAGTTTCGTACACCCAAAAATGCATTATATTTTTTGCCGACCTGACCAAAAAATTAGGTTTAATTTTTATTCATTTATACAAGATGACTAGTGTTGTGTTAGCTGTTGTCATTTTTTCTATTTGACAGTCTTAGGCAGGGGTGGGGAACGTCTGGCCCGATAGCCATATACAGCGCTTGAAATCGCCTGGTCTGGCCCTGCCAAGGCAACCACAGGTGGGACTCAAAATTCAATAAATCTAGGAACTTTTTTCATAGCTAATTTTTATGTTGATAATTTTATATGACCCTCGAATGATGTTATAAATATCCAAATGCCCCTTGGCAGAAAAAATGATCCCCACCCCTGACTTAAGGGACAAGAGGTCAGTGCCGTGACTAAATAGTCAGATGTTGCATGTTTTAAAAATTCTTGTGGCTCACCGGTTGAAAATTGCTGCTCTAACTTGAAAGTCTCATTTTCTGACTGTCTTATGTGATATATATTTCTTGACACCCCTTCTAGATCTGTATTTCAGGCAAGGACAAACAGGAAGACATCCAGGTAGAAAATACAGTTCTGCTGAATACAGTAGCTTTTACGTGAAATAAGGAAGCAATGCAGGGAATAGCATTTTTGGTGGGAGGTGAAAGGAACACAAATAATTAAGTGGAGGAGTGAAAGTGAAGAGGTTTATGGACAAATAGAGCAGAGTTTGGTGAACTAGGTCTGTAAGCCAGATTCAGGCTGCTGTCTTTCTTTGTAAATAAAGTTTTATTGGAAGCCAGCCACACACATTTGGTTGCATAATGTCTCAGCTGCTTTTGTGCTCCAGGTTGGAGAGTTGAGTAGCTGCAACAGAGACCATTTGGCCCACAGCCTAAAATACTTACTGTCTGGCCCTGCCTAGAAAGTTTGCCAGCCCCTGAGGTCGAGGTTGAGGAAGGCCTGGTGGGGAACGTGTAAGACTGGGAGGGAAAGGACAGTGTCCCCAGAGAGGGTGCCATCAGCAGAAGTACTTGGAGCCTTTTGAAGCCTGTCCCCAGGGCTTGAGCTCCCTACTCTTCTTCGCTGCCACCCCGTGTATCACTGACCAGCGTGCTTTTGCTTTGTTGCTCTGTTTATAGTGGGGCTCATAAGGAAATTGAGCCCATGACCTTCTTCTGTCCTCAGTTCCACTATCTAAAGGGCTCAGGCACAGTTAGCGGAAGCAATAAACCAAAATGGATCCAAGCTTCATTCTGTACAGAGAGGATACACACCCGACTTTCTTTAAACTGTTCTTTAAAATTGTAGAATCTTTATTCATTGGTACGGAAAAGACTGACACCTATTTTGTGCCTGGTGGTGGAATCTCAGCGTAGTAGGAAGAACCGCTTACTCGTCTGTATTTAGTCTCCTTTTTCCCCAACAACCAAGTTTGTCTGCAGCGGCAGCTTCTGTTTTTCCTGATTGGGCTGGTGTCCCCCTCTTGCCTGTAAGGTCTTCCCCCCCTCCCGTGGTCTTGGCCAGCGGGCCTGAGTGGTTTGCTCCGTGGGTTCCATCCCTGCTGGTTCCTATCGAGCCTGGTAGTGGGAGGAGGGGTCTGGCAAGAGGGGGGAGAATGGGGTCAGGATGTTTACTTTCCTGCTTCCCCCAGAGCTGCCAACCTGAGGTCACTGCTCCCTCAGGTCAACCCTGCCTAACCCCCTGCCAGGTCCTGGTAGCTCCCCTTTGGGCCCCCAAGCCCCAGACACTGGCCGCCCTAAGGTTTCCTTTCTCTGCCGGTACCCCCTCTGGTAAACTCCCCTTGAATGCGTCCTGAGGGGAGTGCGCCGTGCTTCCCTGCTGAGACCCTGAGTGCCATCGGCGCTCTGGAAGGAAGATGGATGGATGGATGGATGGATGGATGGATGGATGGATGGATGGATGGAGGAAAGGAGAACAGATCTGCCATCTTAGATGAGCATGTGAGGGGTGGGAAGTCTACATAGTTTAAATAAACCAAATTGTTGTTTGTCTTAGAATTTCTAAAGATTTGACTGTCATCTCTGAAGTTATTTAAATGCAGAACACTTAGATCTATTGGAGTTTATGGCCTGTCTTTCTGAAGAGTGTGGTTAAGGCAGTTTTATCCCTTGTGATATTTAATACAAAACAGAAAACATTCAAAAAATTACATTGTATTTGAAAGGCATCCCCATTAAGTTTTAAAATTTTTTAAACTGATCTTGGAAAGAGGGAG